TGGAGATTGTGGATAAGAATTATCATTTTTGCGAACATATTAGTGTAAGTGCCTCAAATTTAGTAAGTGTCTATCAATGTGATCCAATTGGCAATGTCACTGCATTTCCAACAATTTATGTACTTCCTTCGTTCTAAAATTAACTTTTCAATTTGACTTTCGTGACTAAACTTTTTAAATTTTGATCGCATTTTAAAAAAATCAAATTGGATTTTTATATAAATTTAATACTAATAGATTCATTTTGAAACATAGTTTTAAACTATTTTATTTTTATACTCCGTAATATATATTTATATATAAATAAAAATATTAATGGTTAAAATATTACACCATTACAAGTCAAATAAAAAATCAATTTTAGGACAAAAGGAGTATAATTAATGAATTAATTTACTTACCAATGTATGGTGATATTGTTGGAGACATGATTGACCACCTTGACTACAACCCTATCGCCCTCTCGAGCAATAATTCTAGGGCCAGGGAACTTTCCGTTGACTGTCACCAGACTCTTGGTATGACACAATCGAGTTACATTTTGGAGACGAATCTGTAAGTTCAAAATAAAAACAATTTTTTTAAAATTAACGTTAACGTTTTGAATAAAATTATAGTGGTATAGATTAATTTTATATATAAATGCTAAAGCTAAACATTATCATTAGATAATCTTCACTACTAATGCTAATACTAAATTCTCTAAGTAGAGTGATTTGATGATATCATAAAACTAACTCAAGTTCAACCTGGAACTTGTGTTGTAAGCCTAGTAGGGATTTTATACTTTAAGAGACATATATCGAGTATATAAAGGTAAGTAGCAAGTTGTCAAATCTTGCAAGGAGTATTAATTAAGGCTCCGTTTGATATACGAAAATCAAATTATGAAATTGGAATTGGAGACAACATTTTCAATTTTGATGTTCGGTAGTACAAAAATATACGGATTTGGAATTACTAGTACCAAAAATAAATTAGAATTAGAGATTTCAATTCCATAGAATTTTAACTCTCAGTTCAATTCGAATTCCATAATTAATTTTGTGTACCAAACAGACCCTAAATAAATAATTAATTAAATCGTATATACGAAGTATAGAACTGAAATTGCTATCTAGGAAAACAGATTATGTTTAACTCTTGTATACAACAAATTTTAGTTAAATTTATACGAAGTAAATTTATTTTCAAATTCTACAATAATTTTTCAAGTATATTGAATTAGAATATAAGTTCGACAAAATATCGTAAATCATAATAGGACATTCATTTTAAGATAGAATGAGTATAACTATTCTTATGATTTTGATGTACACCGCATAACTAACCAGATTCTCTAGAATGAAACACAACAAATTTAATATGAATAAACGTAGGGTACACAAAAATGGGGTACCTCATTTGTACACCAGACAAACACAAACATTTAGTGTCTGTAGATCATAGACACAAAGTGCCTGTGTTTGCCTGGTGTACAAATGGGAAATTCCATTTTGGTGTACCCCTAGCATGCCTCATTAAAAATTCATCATATCAAATATCCGCAAATGTTAATGAATCAAATCAATCAAAAACTCAATCTTACTAACATGTTCTCTCTAAGGTACGCGTGAAATGGAAGACATTTAGTTAGTGACGGTAGACATTTACTTGAACAATAACCATTAGACATTTTGAACAATAACCATTAGACAAATAATGATCAGTGGTATTACATTGAGAAATAAAAATGCATGTTACTACAATGAAAAAGTCACTAAGTTTAAATACTATTTAGGTAAAGATAGTAATTAAGAATGAGTAGAAAATGAAGATTGAACATACGTCAAACTTGTAGTGTCGTGTGACAGATGCATGGCCGCCGCCTGCCGCCGCCATTGCCACTTGAGGAAACAAGAAAAAGGCGGGGAAGCTCATGACGATGATGAGAGAAAAAAAAGCAAAAATGGCATTATGACAACGAAACAACATATTTCCGACCACCCAGCAATTCAATAATAAATAAATAAACTCTCTTTTCCTTTGTTCTACACTTTATAAATTTCAACACTTTTAGATAGATCTTATTGGCTTAGCCTCTCCATCACTGATTTTGGTAATTATTTATAGTACTCCCATCCGTAGTGGTATATGGATAATATTATATTGAGGCCCAAAAGAGTTTGGTTGATTAGGTAATAGGCCGGACATATAACCTACTTATTATTAGCTTTTTATTATGGCTAACAAAAAATAAAAAGAAGATGAATCTCATCCCCGAAGGCCTCCTCATATCCGACTAAACGGTCACTGACAGAAAATAAATTGAACTCTGATTGTTGATTAGTCTCAAAGAGTGAATTCATACTTACAGATGCAGAAGTTATATGTTTAGCATAGTTGCCTTCCAACGCAGTTATCAGGAATCGAACTCGAGTATTACCTCTTGACACTTATTGCCTTTGCTGACTGTGCAATGTCCGCAGGGCAATTTATTATTATGGCTCAAGAGTCAAGTGGAAGTGTAGATGCATGGTCCATCTCAATTATAATAAAATTTGGAGTGTTGTTAAAGTGAATCAACACTTTGGAGAGACATATTCACCGGCAACCGTACATACTCTCAATTCTATAGAGGCACCCC